ATCCCTGCACAGACCCACAATCGCTCACTGCGCACACAGCACCATTTAGCTATTCTTTTGTCTGACTCCATTTTCTTTCACATCTGAGGCAAAGGAGATATAAGCATACTTCTGCTTTCCTCATTGTTATTGCTCTTAATAATTTCCTATCCTCAACTGTCACAAATTTATAGGTGGATGGATCAAGAGAATCCAGAAAATCCCCCTAGGTTACTATCAGCAGCTTAAGATCCACGATATAACCATAATGTTACTAAAAACCAATGGAACCAAATGGATTAAATTTAGTTAGAAGCATCTGTTACTATCTTTGCAATAGTTCATAATGTAGAGAAATTCAGTGATAAAAGATCTATTTTTTTACTGCTTAGTCTCCAACTAATCTATAAGTTTAGTTCCAAGATAGAACATCAAGTTTCTTTCCATATACTATATACAGAATATATAGGATGATATTGTAAAACAGAAAATCACCTGTTCAAAAGACTAGCAAGTAATTCTTCGATCTTACTTTTCGCTTCGACTTCTGATGAACATTTTTTAAATGAATCTTCTTCACTAAAGGACTACCAAAGAAGCACAAATAGTTATTATAAACTCGAATATCCAATTATCAGTATAAATATCAAATAAATCAACACATTCTTTACGAACATCTCTCATGCTTAGTTTGAGCCATTTAGTTCGCCTTTATATTAACTCGTTTTATCTGCAAGTTATTGTACTCCACCAGAAAGTGCACTGGAAGTCAAGAAAAGTATAAAGCTTGAGTACCAGCTCCAAGCTTTTCTATATGATTACAGCAAGGCTCTTAATCTCCTAAGACTTGAATCTGAGTTTAACCTGGGGCAAATTATTTAACCTTTCTAAAATACAGTATCCTCATCTTAAAAAAGGAATGAGAGGGAGAGGGAGAAAGGAAGGGGAAAAGATACAAATGAACAACAGTACTACCTACCTTGAAAGTTTGTTGTGAAGATTAAACGGGCTAATGTATATAAAGCACTTAGCGTGTGTCCGTAACACAGGAAAAATATTAATCAGTGTGAACTGGATGATTATACCTTTCTCCATTTCCTAAATCATGAGACTACTCTAAAAACAAGACTTTAAAAATTAAAATATTTTGCCTCATATATGTAATATAGGCTGTTAAAATTAAGTAGCATTCAATCAAAATGGCTAACTCGAGATTTAAATACCAATTCATGGATTCAATTTAAGAATATTTATTAATCTAATATAATAAATTAGCCTTTTCATAAAAAAGGGATCATGTACTAACATAATAAGCAAACTAGAACAGTAAAAACACAGTACTAAAACTAGAACTCTTTATCTTAAATAATGTGGCAACCAGTACTCAATTAAAATAAGTATCATTATTATGCACCTGAGGTGGTCCTGAGGGTGTTACAGGAGAGTTATCCTCCCCAAAACTGAGCTTCTGGATACGCTGAGCAACTGAAATTCCTAATTCCTTTTCTAATATTTTGGATGAAAAGGTCTGAAGATCATGCACACTACTGATACCCAGCCCTTCAAGACGTTTGGTAGTTTTATAGCCAATACCTAAACAAAAAGAAATGCATAGTGTTACAACAGCTTTTCTCCTTAAAATAAACTAATTAAAATATTAAAAATATATCAACCATGTCTTTAAATTTCATAATTAATATTGTGCTAAGATCAAACTCTACTGAAAATTAGGTTGTTGTTCTTCTGCTCAGGGTCTCTGAGTTATATGAACCACTTTGAAAACCTAACAACCCTAGTATAATATAATGACTATAAAGACAACCAATAAATTCTGCTTTGATAAAATTAAATTTTTACCACCTATTACATACATTGTGGAAGTAGTCAAGAGTCATGGTTATTATTCACGTAACAAGAAAGTCACTAGAGCAATTGAAATTAATTAGCGTGTATTTATCAGAAACCCAACTGGTTCCTATACACAACACCATACATTTATCTACAAGTCATGTCTGGCAATATTTAACATCCCAGATATAACTAAGAGCTGGAAAACAAACCAACAACAAATGTTCTCATCAGCAAAACCCCTATCACAAAGTTTTTGCATGAAACTCAGTCATATTCATCACAGGAGAAATGCTCAGGGAATTTAGTGCCCCTTTACTCCTCTCATATTTAAAAAGTTAATTCTACAGCTATCTGGTTTCCTTGAGCAGTAAAAGAAATCAAAGGTAATGAGGATGTAGGGAGAATTATTAAAGTGCAGTGACAGATATTTTCACAGCTGAAATAAAAGAGGGCTAGCAATTTGGCAATAAGTAAAGAGAAAGGTGTAAAATCAACTACAAGAATTCAAAAAGTAAAGCTGGTAATGTTATGTATCAATATATGGTCATCAATTTATTACAACCTGACATAGTTGTTCTTCAGAAAGCAGACTCAGGGTCATCCCCCAAAAATCTTCAAGTTATGATTGTACTGGATTAAGGAAGGCAAGACAGTGTATAACACATTTTGAAATCACAAAAACATTGTTAAAATTATGAAGTTATGACTTAATCTAAAGGTTAAGTTATCACTTAAAGGTTATGACTTAATCTAAAGGTTAGATTAAGTTATGACTTAATCTAAAGGTTAAGTTATGACTTAATCTAAAGGTTAAGTTTCTTCAGTTGTTTTAGGAATTCACTTCCACAGAATTCTATTATGACATCTTATTCCCCAGTAATGGCCCAGAAATGAAGTTTAACGTATCGATTATTGATGGTCTATAAAAACGTTAAGTATTTGATCTTCAAAGATACAAACTTGCCCAATGTCCTCAACAGGTCACTGAACCCCTCAAGAAAATCAATTTCCTCATCTTTAAAATAAAAAAGTTGGCCTAAATGCTTTGGAAGGTCTCTTGTAGCCCTAATATTTTATATACAAATCCAAAATAGAGTTAGTAATAGACCGTCTGTACTCTCTAGATGCAATCTACAGTATAAGTGTATCAACCAGGGCCTGGAAAGAAAGGATCACATGTTTCCAGGTATAACTTGTAAACTATACAAAAGGAGGTTAAACTAAAAAAGGATTTTCATATATTTCCTAATACAGATTCCCTCCAGAAAACATTAGGGGTTTTGGTTTTCTCCAAAGCCAAGTACACAGTTTCTAAGAATTATAATTTTTTTAATTAAATAAATACAATAAAACCAATTTATAATTTTTAAATATATTTGTCTTACCAGGCATTTCCTTTAAATGGTTCAAACTATGAATGAGATCCTGAGTACTTTCAGGTAATAAGACTGTTTGTTGATTTGGTTTAAAGACGCCAGAAACTAATTTTGCCAATAATTTATTAGAAGCCACTCCGGCACAGCCAGTGAGACCCAGCTGATTATACATGGCTTCCCGCATCTCTGCTGCAATCTGAGATCCAATAAGTAGTCTGATGTGCAAGATGTCATGCTGGTTTATAGCTATAAAAACAGCCAATGTTATTAAAAGTCACCACAAAAAAATTTTAATTTTCTTTTTTACAAATGAGTTTAAACAGAATACAGGGCTTATTTAACATATATCCACCACCATCACCCCCAAAACCACCATACTGTAACCCCCTTAATCTGTTTTGTTCTTCACAGGAATTCTGTAAAGTAAATAACTACCACTGGATTGAATTTCAAGGGCCTATGATAGTAAATGCACGTTGGGAGTGATTATGAAAATTGACCTCTCATAAAAAGTTCCTAGTGACATTAGTAAGACTTTTACTTATGTTTACCTATAAATAAGCACAGAAGTATTACAATAAGAAATACTTTTGAAAAGTATCTGAATCTAAACTTTACGTATTAGCTATACATGCTACTGAAAACAATTTTAGATCTGTACATATTTAAGAGGTCTTTTATGAAAAGCAGAGATAAATTATATGGAAACACATTTTCTTAAGTGTAAAAATGGTATCAGAGTTATATGACACAGTCCTTATCCTCAGGAGTATTTACAAATAAAGTGTCATGATGTCTGCAATTTATTTTAAAAGGCTCATCAATAAGTCAACCAAACAATTAGAGAATAAAATACAGCAAATGTGGAAGGGCATAATGAGTGTTGTACTATTCCATCAACTTTTCTATAGGTTTAAAGCATTTTTTAAACAAAATCTTGTAAGGAGAATAATTCATAAAGAATAAGACATTTTCTTTTTAGGATATAAAACATAACTCTCCATAATATGTTCTAATCAACAAAGTCTGAGTTTGCTTTAAAATCATATAGAAACATATTTGGAAGCTTCTTGCTACTCGGCCTTTGTCAGTGATGCGAGAGCATAGGTACAAAAGACACAGGAAAAGCATCTTCTTCTGGAAGAGAATTGTAGCTCTCCCTCTATCTTTAACATCAGAAAGGTGGAAATTAAATGGGAGGTTGATCACCAGCTCTCAAGAAAGGAGGATAAGAGGAAGCACATGTTGAGACCCAGGAGCAAGAAGGGCAGGCAAGTATTACACAAAAGCAGAGAAGCTTGTCTTCTAAGTGGTATGATGTGGAAGTCATCAGCAGAGTTACAAGATGCTTGAAACTCGAATTGGATGTTCACTAGAGCATACTGCAGCTTATTTTCAAATGCCAGTATCCCTGGAAATACCATCAGTCATCTATAATATGCAAAAGAGATGAACCACTTTGCTTTCTTGTTAAGAGCTGGCAAAGATGATCTGAACTGATTAAATATGAGCTTGCAAAAGATGACAGGTAGGCCTGAACGAGCTTCCACAAGGATAACTCAAGAAATCAGGGGGCAATATGAGGGTCCTGTTGCCTTGGGGTAATAGAAGAGAACAACAAAAAGAAAAAAACTAAGGCAAATTTAGTTTACCTCAAAATTTTGCTTAAAAATAGTTAGAGGAGAATCTAAAATTATTCTAAAAAGCATATTATCAAGCCAACTCCTGTAACTTAAGGATGACCCAAGGAGGTATGGCTCTTAAAAATGCTATGCACAGACTGTGTTGGAGAAATGAGAAGTGCGCAGAGGATTGAGCTACGTGAGCAACATCTAATTTTAGTTTTCTTAGATTCCTGAAATATGGCTATACCGCCCACAAAAGTCATAAAACTTTCAGGACAGTCAACTCACTGAACTTATCGAACATTAAGAAATGTATGTACTTTAAAGTTACTAAATAGAATGAATAAGAACCCACTTACATTGATTATTATATATGTGGCCTGACACAGTCAGTGCTGAAATTTCATCACTGTGAAGCTGCTGTAGTCTTTTCTCAACCATTTCCGTTAGGTCCACAAAATTTTCATCAAATCCAAGTCTCTCAACAAGTGGACTGAATTCTTCCAACAACTCTAAATGTAAATAATATTGGAGCTCAAAGGTAACTGAAGAAGTTCTGGCGAGAATTAGTTTAGCTACTCTGTGCTTACATTAAATATGCTGTTAAAGGTTTTACACAGATTGACAGTTCCACAATATAGTTAATAAAGTTGTCAGTTAACTGGGATTTTTTTCCTGCACCACATTTTGAGTAAAGGCAATATTTTTCCAACAAAGTTAGTTTAAAAATGACATTCCCTGAGCAGACAGTCATAGCAATATATTTAGCTCAATCTCCTATACCTATAATTTCTGTATCTGTAGTACATTAAATATTGGTGCTTATAGTTAATTATGATTTTGAAGTACTGTGTCGAACAATAAATTATAATCTTCTTAGAAAAGGGAAAACAAGTAACAATATATTCTAGCTCTATTTTCTGCAGGAGTTTTTAAAGGCAAAACGAAACAAAATTTATAATTTCTATTACTGAATCAAAAAGAAAAGCCACTTAATTTTCAAAATACACCACAATTCACTATTGTGATTAGCCATTCCCCAGCTTATTCCTTAAGCGCAGAAATGGGCAATGACTTACATGTATCGAATGTCCAGTGTCTATCACCACACTTAGTCCTGAAGTCAAATGTTTACTAAATTGAACTAAACCATGATTTGATATAAATTCAAAAGGACTATCGATTCTCATTTTTAGGATTAAGACTAGTAAAACTTTGAAATCACTGAGAATAATTTTCACTTCTCTCTGAATCACCTATTGATACCAGCTGGGTAAAGAAAACATGTACTATTTTTTTCACCTATCAGGCAAAATCTTTACAATGTGAGAATATACATACTAGCAATGTGTCAAAACAACTTCAAGTGCAACATATATCTGTATGCAAAATTTCAAATGCAAATTACCTTTGATCTAGCAATTAATCTCTAGGAACTTACCTTATGGATATCTCCAAAAAAGGAGGCCAATATTTCTATGTGAAATGTTTACTGAAGCATGTATTTGCAAAAGCTAAAAGTTAGTAGCAGTCTAATAATCCACCACTATCAGGGAAACCATATAATTTATCATTTAAAACAAGACATTTTTGAACAAAAGGAGCTGCTATTAATAATTATTTAGAGATAACAGGCATAAAATGGGGCGTACTGTCTTCATATTATGAGAGGACTGGTTAAATAAGTATGGAACAAAACATAATGGAATACTTTGCAGGCATTAAAAAGGATGAGGAAGAGCTGTATGAATGATATGAAAGATCACCAAGAACAAAGGCAAGATGCACAACTATATAACCTCTTCTGTGTATACTAAAAATCAACTTCTTAATATTCAGACACACACAATTTTCCATAGATGTACAGTGCTATTTTAGAAGTACAGTCTTGCCTTTTCTGCTTGGCTATCTCTTCCTCCCCCTTCAGCACTGCCTCTTCCCCTCTAGAAAGTAATTAATGTTAAAAACCTAGAACATATCCTTTCATATTCCTCTTCCTGCTCAAATAAACACATATACGTATAGGTAGGGGAAGGGCTTGAGCTATTGTTTTACACAATACCTATAGAAAACTATGATATACTTTTTTACATCTTGCCTTTTACTGACTCAATAACAAAGTATATCTTTATGAATAAAACATATAGCACCAATGCATTCTTTTTAATGGCAATTAATATTCCAGTGTAGAGAAGTCTTAGTTTAGTCATTCTCATCATAAGCATTTCTTTTCATTCCATATTTTTACCAGTTATGAACCATGCTACAATACACCATTTTGTACATGTCTTTATCATTTTATTTCTTAAGTTCTCAGAGGTTATATTACTGTGATATAACTTGTATCTCTAACTTGAAAAATTGTTTCTAGATTGTTTTTTAAAAGGCTATAATACTTTGTTTCTACTTTTTCACACATTCTTTATATTTTTGCAAGTATGATGGATATAAAATATCTTATTAATTCAAATTTCCTTAGCCAATCATAAACCTGAACATTCTTCTTCCACATAACAGTTGAAACTGTGTTAGCTCTTTTTGTCAATTATTCATTCATATTCTTTAGTTATTTTTTTCTTGCTAATTTGTAAGAGCTTTTAGATGTTATAGTTAACCTTTTCATCTGAAAACTGCTACAAATAATAAAAGAACATTTAAAAATTATATAGATTTGCAATACGCCAATATACACATTTTCATTTTTACTGTAATTTACTAAAATATTATGATTTAAACCAAACCTTAGTAGAGAGTTTACCTATACTATTTAGTATATATATAAAATCTAAAAGAAATTAATATACCCTTTATTTTTGCTAATAGGTTTTAACAAGTTTTTAATTATGTTAAACATTACAGAAGCTCCTCCCAACTAACAATGCATTGAAACATAGGCTTTTTTTTTTTACCATAATTCATTTAAACTTAAAAATATCCGGCTTTCTTTGGTATATCTTGCCATTTTCTCACTTTTATATTTTGTTTTACATTTTTCTCATATTTACATGACACCAATCATCACAGATTTCAAACTCCTTCCAACTTTACATTTGTCAGCATTACTTATAACATATAAAGTCATTCTCATATAAATTTTTTAGAGTTATTAGCTAAAAGGAATTAACTAGTGGCATTTTACATGTCTTAAAAGATTTATGTAGTGAGTAGGCATCCTATATAAAAATTAATGCTAAAAACAGTTTCCTTTCCAATGACTGTAATAAATATGCACACGTTTTAAAATATTAGAAAAATAAAAGCATATTTTCCATAATCTGTACCTGTAACCTTATATGACATCTCTCTGTAACGAGTCAAGTCTTCTCCATTAACTAATACCAGCTGTGGACACTTTTCTTTTGCATCTCTAACATTCATAAGTTGCTTAACTCCGAGTTCCCTAGCAAAAAAGTTGCAGGTAACCACCAAATATTTATGCTGAACCCCTATAAAAAATAAATATTTTATGAGGAAAACTGAGAGAATTGAAGAAACATCTTAAAATATAATTTACTAATGCCATATTATAATTTTATGTGTTTTGATAAGAAGAAAAAGGTCTCAGTTAAAAAATATAACCTCTATTCATCAAAGTTCTATAAAATAAAATTTAACAGAAATGATCATATATTGATATGTTCTGTTAAATGGAGTCTTCAATGAAAAGATACAAATAAAATCCTTTTAGAGTTTTTTCAGACAATACAAAACTGTATTAATTTACATTAATTAACTCTATATATAACTCTAGCCCATGTTTTACTAAACAATAAAGCAGATGAAAATATCTGAGTACAATTAATTACTGGTTGCTGCTAGAAAAATTCACTTATCTTCTGAGTAACTGTCCAATGAATATAAAGCAAAGTTCTAAGTGCCAACCTACAGCAATTATCAGGGATCTAATTATTGAACTATTCTTCCTAGTCATTTGCAGAAAAGATCATACAGTGAGGCAGCACTATGAGCCCCCTCCTTATCAAAATGACTAAATTATGATCATCTACAGACTATATAAAAATTCTAGTTTATTGGTGGCTTAAGACAGATAAAATTTGCCTTTCTCTTTACATAAGTTGACAACTTGTTTACCACTATGAAAGTAACGTTCATTTAAAATATGTAAAACAAACATGTAGGAAAAAAAAGGTTATGTGCATTCTCCAATGCAAGACATTTCTTAAAATTTAATATTTTAAACAAGGCAAAGAAACATTTCACATAAAAATTTTTGATGTATCATATATGCCCCAAAATAGAATCACTAGGTTAAAAATAATAATTTAAGATTCATCAGTGAACTATATACAAAATCAGATTTTAACTCCCTTAACCAAAAAAAAAACAGTTTTTAAATGCAGAATTAAATGTACTCACACTATATGTCACCAGCCCATGTGTTACAATGCTACTAGCTGAAATGTCTTTAGGAGAATCCTAACTTCTTGACGCCCTTAGGAAAGTTTAAAGATCCTAACTAAATTGAACTTGGCATATACCAAAAACTTTGTTCAGGAAATCAACTAGGCAGGGTTGAATCAGGATATATAAAACCAAACTAGACACAAGGTAGCAGCAGATGAATCAAAATTGCTCCTTATGCTCTTTAAATACTTACTACATGTATAAAAAAACTTTTGAAATTTACTTTTCCAATTAAAAATATAAAATGTTAAAACAAGCCAATATAATAAAAAGTAAATCCTCTAGTCTACAGCCATGCCACCCTGAATGCACCCAATCTCATCTGATCTTGGAAGCTTAGCAGGGTTGGGCCTGGTTAGTTCTTGGATGGGAGACCACCTAGGAATACCAGATGCTGTAGGGCTTAAAAAAAGGAAAAAAATAAAAATAAATAAATCCTCAATATAAAATTTCTCTTTGCTTTTTATTTTAAAAGATACTTGTGTTTTTATGGAAAGCTTGCTCTTTATGCCTTAATATTTAGAGATTTGTTCAAAATTCAATGATTTTATTAGCTGTTACACAAATCAAGAGTTAAATTAGAAAGGGAGGAGATAGATGAAAACATCTATGAAAATGTAACAAAAGAGGTCATTTCTGAGATAAGAGGAATGTAAAATTTCAAACATTGAGAAAAAGACTAAGTTTATTACGGTCTTTTTATTCATCTATTCAGTTGTGATTCTACTTGCGTCATATTCACCATTAAATGAGGCTTATAAAGTTTACACCTGGTAGTGAAGCAAAGATTGTCTATTAAGCACCTTAAAAGCTACTTCCAAAATCCATCTTTAGTTAATAAGGCAGAATAAATATAATAAATGAGCAGCTAATCCTATTATACAATGAAAATATTATCAACGTCCATAATTACCTAAAGGTTTGCCCTTCAGTTCCGGATTTGAGATCATTTCTACTTGTGCATAAAAGCAATCCAGATCCATGTGTATTATAACTCTGGACGAAGGACTTCCTGCTGGCACCACTTGACCATGAAGGGATGCACAATATGCAAAGAAATACAAAAATATATTCAGGCTGCTTATCATCTCTGAGCAATTGGCAGTTCCTTAAAACATGGGACTGAGAAAAAAGAATGCAGAGTGATTTTAAAAATTTTTTCTTGAATTTATTATATCTTGTTACAGCAACTTAAAATTACAAAAACCTGAGAGCAACTACATCTACAACAGGGACTTCAGCCCTGTTTACTTAGCATTTCTTGTGCACTGTATTTTTCTCAGGATAGTAATAAATTTGAGGCGGGGTGGGGGGGGGCGGGAATCTTGATCAATAATGGAAGACACAAGAGGTAATCTATTACCTGGAAGTTTATCGTAAAATTTAGAGTAAATTAGAAGGGGCATAAAGTTTAATCATTGATTTAAACCAACAAAATTATTCTAAGTGGCATGTCCTTAAATTTTAAAAAATCATAAATACTGCAGATAGCAGACCCTACGGGTTCCAGTGGACAATATTTAGCTCTTATATGAGAGCAGGATTAACTGGTTCTGTGCTAAATCCCCTGGCATATAACAGACTCGATAAATACTTGATAAATTGAATGAATGAGTAAATAGTTCTTGGATTTGAAAAAGAAGATAGTCATGGGAAATTTTTTTTTGCGGGGGGAGGAGTGATAAAACAGGAGATTCTAGCTCTTCACACCAGTTTAAAAACAAGGCAGTTTAAATGCAGTGATATTCTATATTTGGATCCTAGAATAAAAAATACAATAGTGGAAAAAAACAGTAAAATGTGAATAAAGCTTGTACTTTAGTCAATAGTATTATGCCGATGTTAATTTCCTTTTTTGACAAATGTACCGGGGTGATGTAAGATATTAACGTTAGAGAAAACTATCTCTGCAACTTCTGTAAATCTAAAATTATTCCAAATTTCAAAAGTTTAATTACAAAAATAAATAAATAAAAGGCATGGAAGGAGAGCCCTGTCCCCGGGCCCTGGGGTTGAGCGACACAAGGTTCAGCCCAGAGGCTGGAAGTGAGTCACCAGAGAGGTGGCCACTGCACACGTGCCTCGTCTTCGGTTCCAAGCGAGTCATTTATTCCAGCCCGGGCTAAGGCCGGGCCCCAACCGCTAACAAGTAGGCGACGAGGTTCTCCACTTCTGCAATCATTAACCGCCCGGGGCCTCTTCGGCTTTCATTTGGCTCTTTTGAGAAATTACAAATGCACCCACGTCTAACAATCTGACGCGCCCACCCTACTGCTCCTAGGCGACGCCATCCCTCTCCTGGTCTTCAGCCACAAAACGACAGGCAGTGAAGGGTAGCCCGCTAGGCACAGAAAGGAACCAAGTGGGGCGGGGACAGTCGCACCCCAACGGTCGCCGCCGCCCCGGGCATTCGCCCGCCCCGCCCTTCTCTTTTACAGCAAGGGAGGCCACCCGGCTCCGCTGGCCCCGGCACAGCCGGCGAGCTGACAGCCGCCCCCGCCTCCGCCTGCTCCATGGCTCGAGCCGCGTCCTCTTCCTCGTCGCAGCCGCCTTCTTCCTCGAGCTCCACCCCTAGCTTCTCCATCCCGCCGCGGCCAGCCGCAGCGCAGCTTCCGGCAGCTTCCGCTGGGTCTCCAGGGAAACCAGGGCCGACCGCCTCCAGCCGCTCCGGCAATCGCGCCTGCGCGGTCTGGGCCGACCAGCCAGTTACCCGGAGTGACGCGCGGGCTGGGAATCGTGGGGATCCGCGTGCGGAGGATTTCTCCCACTCCAACCAGGCCGGAAGTGAGGGATTGCTGTTCCAAACTGCTAGTTTTTTTCTTGAGGTATTCGGAGTTAGTTCCACAACACGTATTTTAACTCTTTATCTTTACTCGGAGGCCAGCCTGTTCTCCTTGAACAACTGTTAGCAAAATCGCTTACCCTTAGACACTGAACGATTCGTTGTAATGGGGTGCGGGGGAAAGGTGAAAATTATGGTAAGAGCAAGGCGACCATGTAAACTAACATGATTAGCGAGCATGTTAAAGTTTATTGCATTTAGTTTGTCGTTTGATTCAAAGAGATTGTGCCAGATTGGAACCCTGAGTTTGTAATCATCTGAACTGAATGGGGTTTCCATACACGAGCGTCGGAATCAGATAAAATCTCCAATCCAGACCCACCAGCTTATGTGTTTTGGGGCACGTTACATAACTACTCTGGGCCTCAGTTTCTTCGCTGTAAGAAAGTCCTGAGATTAGATAAATGAATAAAGGAAAACTAACATACACTTTAATATTCCAATGTGTATAACACACCTGGCACATAGAAGGTGCGCAATGTTAATTCTCTTGGCCTTCAGTTAAAGATACTTTGTGTGCCTCTGTGTGTGGGAGGGAGGGTGTGTGTGCGCGCGCGTGCGTTTTCCAACGGGAAACTGAGAAATTTGTGTGTGTGCATATATACATATATTCAAACACATATTTGTTTTTTCACAGATAATATGGATGTGAGAACCTTGAGGAAACCTTTAAAGGACATGTTGTTGCATCCCTAAAGAAAAGGGAATAACAGGCAGAGCCGGGACTCAGTGGTTTAGAGACCAAGCCTTCCTTTTTGGATATTTTCCTCTTAGACAGCTGGACCTGTCCCCTAAAAGTCTCCAGTGTAGGATCTAAGACACTGATTTAAACCTATACTGCTTTCTTTGCGAATACTGATTAGATAAAAAGCTTTTAAATTAAGTGCCTCCTTGGCTCCTAAGTACCTCTTGGACTATCATCAAGGGTCCAATTACTTGTAGAAAACTAAGGGTTTTTTTTTTTTCTAATTCCTTCATTTTGAAAATGATACAAACAGTAGAAATACCATGGCCAATTAAAATTGCTCCTTTATAAGAGCCCTAGGCTCACTACACACAATAGCTCAAGTAGAAGTGAGCCAGCGTTGAAAAACAAGACACATAATAAAGCCCTCTTTAGTTTCAATTATTTCTCTGTCAATTGCCAAATTGAAGAGTGGCTTTTAATTTAGTCGAATAGACAAGTGGAACCTAGAAAACTTTAGGGGAGGGAGCAAGGCTGGCTTTATGAGTGTGCAACCTATGCAGTAACAGAGCCCCCCCCCTCCCGGCTTAGAAGGGTCCCACCCTTAATTTAATGTTCTGCTGTTGTCATCTTGAAATGCTTAACATTTGAACAAGGAAGACTGCATTTCCATTTTGTACTGGACTTCACAAATTATTTAGACAGTGCTGGGAGCAAAGAAGAGAAGTGGCATAGAAAAGTGACACTTATAATAAAACACCTGTATGTCAGGCACAGGGCTAACAGTTTAAAACAGATTATTTCATTCTGTATGTCCTAGAGGGTGGGTATCATCATTATCATTTTACAAAAGATGAAACAGGCCAGCAGACACTAAGGTGTTTACTCAAGGTTATGAATCCAGTAATAGTAGATCTATTTTTTCAGAGTTTTACATAGAAAAGAATTCATTAATAATGTTTCTTCCATTTTCCTTGATACTTCAAACACCAGACAACCTGGAGTAGGGAGAATAAACATCTCTCAAATATATTAGGAGGCATATAAATTAAATGAATTAATATGTGTTGTTTTGTTGTGGGATGAATTAGGGAAAGTGGGAGTGGTTTTTTTTGTTTTTTATTTTGGAGGTTCTTTTGAATTCTATAACCTTCCCCCAGTTTTTATTAAAAGGCGCTAATCTAAGACAATTTCAGGAAATATTTTGAGGATCATTATTGTATAGTAGAAAAACACTTGCGAGGCAGAGTAAACATTAAATAAATCATGCTTGAAACAATATTCGTTGGGGAGCATGAGGTTGCAGAGCATGGCTAGTGGATAAAGAAACGGGGCATTTTAGAACGCCAGAAGTCAAGACCCTGAACTTACACACATTAAAAGTAATAAGCATGAACACCCATGTCCATGACAGGTGGGAAAGTTACCAGTGCCTGTTTCTCTCCTCCTAGCCAAACTGGTCACATATGGTTCAGAGGAAGAACCCCAGGCAATGTTCAAGGGCTTTGACATGAAGAGTGGGAGGGTTTATATGAGGGTGGGTATTTCATATTGGTGGGTGGCTAGGCAGGTAGAGGTTGACCATGGGGTCAAAGGAACAATTGGAATTGGCTTAGTGCAGTGGTTCTCAGTCAAGGTCAATTTTGTCCCCTAAGAGATGTTTGTCAATATCTTGAAGACGCTTTCGGTGGTCTCATCGGGGAATTGGAACTCTGCACTACTGACATCTAGTTGGTAGAGGCCAGAGATACTGTTGTACATCCTGCAGTGCGCAGTATAGCCCTTCACTATAAAGAATTATCCAGCTCTAAGTGTCATTTGGGCCAAACTGGTACACTCTGGCCTAGTAGTGTTTATACCATTCTGCTCCCAACTCCCCAACTCCACCTCAGCTTAAGGTCCCATTGTAATAAAGAATTGGTCTTCAGATATATGTTTCTAATTATTACTGACTTTTTTAGAGAAAGGAGGATGTAAGAGAGGGAGACGAGTATTATTTAGCTGCTTTTCACTGGGTTAATCTACATTCTGAGGCTAAAAAGCAAATGAACGCATTTGCTAGAAAAGAGGTTTAAGAAAAATATGCACTTTTTTATGGAGCTTGTGCGTTACCCATAGGGTAAAAGGCTAATGAGTCAGAAATAATTTACAAGGCTTAGACGCTAAAACCAAAACACAAAAAGGCTTCAGCTGGTTGAAAGCAAACTGTAATTATGATACGCTGTTGTATAATATGCATGTTATGTAGTATTTAATAACTTTCATGCAGGGATCTCAAACCTTTTGCATAAAAACGTCAATTGTCACGAAGAAATGCTTTTCTCGCTCTCTCTCTCTCTCTCTCTCTCTCTCTCTCTCTCTCTCTCTATCTCTATCTCTATCTCTCTCTCTCCTTTGGAAGAGAGCAAACTGAAACCACCCACCCAGCTACAGTTTCGAGCTTTCTCAGTGTAACCTAAAAATATTTGCTGCATACCATGTGATTGTGGCTAAGAAAAAATGTAAGAAGCTGAAGTTTTTCTAACAACTTCTCTTTGCTTTGACCTTTCTTTGTGGTTCTGTAGGTCTTATGAAAAGCCTGCAAAGTCAGTTTAGTAATGACATTTAAAACGTTGCTTGTCAGGGTGTATACGATGGACTTTGGCTCATCGTTTTGGATAGAGAGAGGTGGGGACCAGCGTGATCACAAGACAAATCATTTGGTCTCAGTTTGTAAATAAAGTCTGCAAACTTCAGTCATTGAGAAAAAGAGAACTATTTGATGTTATATAGGAAGTACAGCCAGATTAACGTAGGTCAGGTATATGGTGTTAAATTTATAGACATCTAACTTTAATATAACAATTAAAAAACCTTTTTCTGATTGCAGAAGTAATTCGTGATTATTATGAAATATTTAAAAAATATGCAAAGGAGGTAAGAAGAAATGGAAATAATCATCATAATCCATAATCTTTGTGCTTAGAGATAACCACACTTTAATAGTCTTTTCATAAAGCACAACATAAAGTGTTTGATTTCATAAATAAATTTCCGTATCAATTTCTTTACCAAACCACAATAACCAGTGTGAGGTACATTTCCTGACAAAATGACATAGAAAAACTTCATATACTTACTTGTTTTTTATGTTAATTTGAAGGAAATGAGTAAATCTGGTCTCAACATCATCTTGGAAATGTTAATTTCAATTTAATCAATAATCTCCATTTTTCTATTTTGAGGTAAGGTAAACTCTCTATAAAAGAGAATAATATTTATATTTATAGGATTTATTTCTTAAAGTTGATTCAAAGACTTCGTTAAATTACTTTTTTAATCCTAAAAGTACTGCTTGTGCCTCTGATAAAACAAAATTTTTTTCCTCATCCATTGTTTAAGACAAAAAGGTATCAGCTATGTATGAAAATCCTCAATAACTCGACTGCACCTTGAGATAACCCCTGCTAACAAAGGTAACCACTGTTAACAATAAGCGCTGATACACTTCATCAGACTTCTTCTTAATACAGGATAGACATAGTGATACTCATTTGTAATTCACATAGGTGAGAATACTGTGTAGACACTTCTGTACTAGGTTTTTTCTCTTAATATCTCTTGAACATCATTTCTTTTCCATGCACAAAAGTCTACAGCGTTCTTTTTAATAGATGCACTGTTTTACCAATTTCATATCAATGGACATTAATTCCTGATCTTTTGCTGTAGTGAACAACCTTGTACACTTTGTATATCTTCGTGCCCTTCTCCCCTAGGACAAATCTAACCTCCTAAAATTCTATGAAGAATGTTATCTGTATCTTTTTAAAATGAAAAAAATATATATGAAAGCACACCATAGTACACAAGGCCTTTCAGTTTTTTCTCTATAATCATTCTCTCAATCCCTCCACTTCTCTGCATCTGAGCTGACATACTCCTCATCTGGGCCACACACAGAGTCATCTCTGGCTTAGCCTACAGCAGTGGCCTCCTAATGTCAGCCCCTTACCTTCCGTGGGCCCTAGGATGATCTTTTAATAATAGAATATATAATATAATATTCCTGCTAAGAATCTGTCAAAGGCTTCCTACAACCTTTAGAGTAAAATTCAAACCCCTCT